AGATGATATCATAGGCCTCATATGAAATTTTCCAGAAAACATATTAGAGTATAAGGACTACTGACGTATCAATGCATATCCATTTTTGTATAGACATTCGAACTATGCATGGACTTAGAACCCACGGATAATTATCAACTTAAGAGAATCCAAGCCCATCGAAACATGCGATAATGCGTACTGTAATTATATGTATATGCATTATTTCAGATATAAATCAAATATATAGTTAAAAGACAACATCAAGACAAACTAATATTCTCTCCATAGCTACAGGATAAAATCTGGAATAATTATAAGCTATTATTCCAGAATGCTAATAATCAACATCCTCTAATATTTATAAGATATACACATAGAAAACACCTTTAAAACAACAACACCCTTTCATCTACAATAACAAGAGAAATGTATACAAAATAGATAAATACAAAAATAATACGGACATTAATAACGACAACAAAGATAAAAATAATGTAGAAAAAACAGATATATATATTATTACCAAATCGTTGACTACCTTTCATCAAAACAATTTATCCATTCTTCGCAATACAAAAATAATTATAACCACATCCCAAAAATGTATGGATATGATCAGACCGAAAAATATCTATGAAAAGAAATATTTCTGAAGAAAGTATATATATAAAATGAACTGTCAAAAATGTTCCTTACAATATATTGTTGAACTTGCAAAATTAATAAAAAAAAAATGGGTTTATGACACAAAATGATCTCACGTATAACAGTGTAACAAATGCATTAGTCAGAAAGAAGTTCCACCAACACCTTTAATCTTTAGTTAAAGGGAAACGTTTTTGAAAATGCAGCTACCGTTTCTTCTTAAAGACGATAGACAAGGTACTCCGATTAAGATTATTTTTTACTTTTTTGCTAGCTACCAGGCCGTCTAATTTGATAATTTTGCATTTAGGAAACAATCCTTTATTTATAAATGTTTCATCAAAGACGTGTTATATGATAATCGTGAATTTAATTTGTATAATTTGATAATTGTGTATTCAAGCTTAATCGCAGTACCTTGTCTGTAATTTTTAATGAAACTTGTATAAATGAGGTATTGCTGCACACATAAACTACTAAATACACTATATATATATATGTGTGTGTGTGTATATATATATATATATATATATATATATATATATATATATATATATATAAAAAAAGAAGGGGTGCCGCAAACGTTTTTGGTTGTAATGTGGATTTATTGAGAAAAATATACTTTGTTTTACATAATTTCACGACACGTGTTTCTGGTCTCGCAACCGTCTTCAGGTGAAAGTGGAGATTTCTACATATTATTAAAAATAATTAATTTTTCTTCATGTTCAATGTGAAATATTCTCGATATGAGACATTCTGTTTGTGTGTTGGCAATCCGAATTTTCTTTCTAGAATCCCCTTCTTTTTAATATACATACTTTTCTCTCGTTGGAACCACTACAACATATTTCTTTTATATATATATATATATGTATGTATATAAACATATTAAATATAACAGACAATGAATGTCTATTTTGGCTGATCATGAGTCGTTCTGATGTTCGAATGGTAAAAATACAGTCAAAAATTGTCCAGCATTTGGATATTTTTTATTATGTTGCTCCTAAGCATTAACTTCACATGAGCCATCCTCAAAGTACTTATAGAGATATGAAACAAAGATATTCACCGTCAAAGATGATATTTTGTTATTTTGACATAGAATTAAATTATGCGACAATAACGGTCGCTGAATAGATGCTTTTCTATGACGTCATACCACGCGATAGACCGAAGTATTACAACAGAATCAATGTCTAGATGCAATGTAATGTGTTGTGACTAGCTCGAATTGTAATTTTGTTGAGTGTGGGTTGTTTCATTTTAATGTCTCCAATATCTGAAGGATATTCGTACTCTGTGTATGTGTGAGTAATATTTTGTCATCAACTAATATCTGTCTAATATTATGTACATGGCTATGTTGTTTAATTGAACTAAGATCAGAAAAGTGACGGTTAAGTCTACGGGAGAGCGTAGTAGTAGTAAAACCAACATATGTAGTATGTTTATTATTAGTATGAAAGATACAATCTCCGAACGAGCATGTAAATTGATACACTATATTGTTTTTGTGAAGCATTTAGTTATGTGGTTGTAGGGTTATTAGAGACTATGAGGTCAACTGCTTTATCATGTTTTATAATATATGATGGGATTAAATTGTTTATTATTATTAATGTATTTAACATTTTAACATTCCTACTTATTATGTTTTTAAGTGTTGTTTCATCATGGTTGTAATTATTATGCGTTCGTTTACAATAGTAAAAGTTAATAGTGTTATGTTTATTTTGACATACACTATTATTACTTATATTATCAATTTTATTAGTGGTATTATTATGCTTAATGAGATACAATATAATTTGTTGATCAATGACGGAATTAGAAGATCCATTATTAACAAGTATTTTTTTAATGTTATGTATTTTTTTTAACATGTGGTTTTGGAAGAAGATATTATTTGTGTGCGTTGGATTAAGTTTTTTATAACAGCTAACTTATATCGTTGGAGGCATTCACTCTAGTAATTAAGAAGACGTGAGTTAATGCTTGTGGGATTCCTATATAGAGAAGTCGTAATATTTGTTTTGGAATCAATAAATACATCAAGAAATGAAATTTTATTACTAAAATAAGTTCTAATGTAAATTTGAGGACGGAGAGACTTTCAAGTTTTTTCTCAAGCATTGTGATTTGATCAATGTTTTTAGCTAAAACGAAAATGTCATCTATGTATCTTACATATATAGGGGCTTATTTCTCTGACATTCAGGTCGGTAAATGTTGTTAATACTGTTTATTATAAACATAGCATTTACGTAAATATTTGTATCAATAAAAAATTCTTTTATATATATATATATATATATATATATATATATATATATATATATATATATAAATCGCGTTTCCTTACAATGAACCGACTGGGTCGACATGTTTAATTTTTATTGGATATATCAAATTTTCGAATTTGCTCTTGTGTATTCTACGAAATACTATAGTCGCTCGCTTTGTTTAGACTCCAGTTGAAAAAAAAATGAATCCTCAAACACGTACAAGATAGTTTTTCTACCGCAAGGGAGTCTGGAAGTATAATATTCATGCGTGTATACATGTATGTGTATAATGGAAGAACCTCACAAATTCCTGGTTCATTTGGATGCACTGTGTAATGTACTAAATAGTTATTAAAAGAATTCGCTTAAAATATTTCACTCAAAAATAGCCTGAAACCCGTTTTACATAATGCCTGTATTACTTCTGTTAACGTTCTGACCAATCGGAACAAGTCTGTTATAATTTGGCATCTAATTTACTTTTATATACATAGATTCGTTATGGCGGCTTCTCTTGATGTAGATTATGTACCGTTTGTTGCATATTCCTCTTGGACAGACATCCGCTTGCTATTCATTTACTCCCCAATCGTCCTTGATCTGATGAACAATACATAGAAAAATACGGACAGTTTTCTATATGCTGATCTGGATTTAAATGAGCATCCGGTGTTAGATCGACGTTCAAAGTATTCAAAGGGCGTAACATCCCGATCTTATGAGGCGGGAAACTATTTGACACGCTGGTGGATGTGATCACATGATTTGAAATTAGAAAGCTCGTTTCCTTTTTCGACTCATATAATTTGAATGAAGAAATCTTAGATGTGTTTTTTATTTATATTGTACACCGAAATCAGAAAGCAGAAATCAGAAAGCACTGGACGGCCGTTTCGTCCTAAATTTGGGACTCATCAGCAGTGCGCATCCATTACCGAAAATTGAAACCCTGACCGTTTTCAAGCAAACATCATACCAACTGTTCCAACGGGCCTCGGTGACGAAGAGATTGCAAATCAGACTCAACAACGCGCCGCTCGCTCACATATTCCGTGGTGGAACTCGACTGAGTTCTCTCTAACCATAGGACTGTGCCCCCTGGAGCCGCGACTACTTTCACCAAGCCGCTCACTCTAGAGCATTAGAAGCCGGTTCAAGCAATGATATACACAGATAGTAATTACTAGGAGGATTTGATAATTACATTTAATTATTTCATAGAGTCTGATAGAAACCTCAACAGAATGCAGAAAGAATTGGACGTACACTATATATATATATATATATATATATAGTGTATTCAAACGCATAAAATAAATGTATATAAATAATACTATATTTTAAAGATCGCATCAAAAATCTTAAAAATGAATGTGTTACAGGCCAATTAAAATGGACTGATTCATTTTATATGGCTTATTAACCATTTGTAAGTTAATTAGAGCTTGATGATCATTTCAGATTGTAAGAACATTTTCACTATTTACATTATTCGGAGTATTGTCTTCAGTTTTGCCGCCATGTTTATAACAACATTTCGGTAGTTGTACGCACCGGCCTTCTTCACGTGGTTGGAATGTCGAACTGAGCCCTATATTTCGCTCACTGGGGTAGACTGTTCTATTTCCAAGTGCCATGTTTAATGGATGTCAGTTATCTCTTGTTAATTACCCTCTGAAAGTTCTCCACTGCCTTAACCAGGAATTGAACTCACACTCTTTGGGTCCTGTCACTGGATCTAACTAACACCTTTATCCACTGTGACATGTGTCCTTGAGAGTACAACGGCCGATACGTTGTGATAAACATGGCGACAAAGTTGAGGACAATAGTCCGAATAATGTAAATAATGTACATAATACCTCATCTCAAAAAAATAGACACAAGAACTTTTTATTAGACAATAATAGTTTGGTGAATCAAATCTTACTAATTAACCCATATCTGTGGGAGAAGAGATGAATTTATTAATTTTTCAAGGGTATTTTCGCGTAAATTGCGCGTGCCGAACGGTAATTGGTAGTCGGCTCTCCGATTAACAATTCCGAGCCATTATCCATCACACTACTCACATATTCAAGCCGACAGAACCTGGTATTCCTAAAAAGACACTCATCCAGGTACTGTTCAGGCATGACATTACTTAACTTCTGTGATCGTACGGGAAACAGTGTTTCACCGTGATATCGCTGGAAGGCAGGCCAAATAAAAGTAAGCAAGCATTATGATTGATCACAGACACGTAGATAGTAACATTGCCGAAGTTATTTACACTGACAAGCATTGTCTAAAGAGAAGTGTTCACGTTTTTATGCTGCATTTATTCTTGCACCCCAAAAGCATTTATTAACACAGAAGTAATTGTTTTCAAGAAGCTCGAAGATTCCAGTCTCTTATTCGCAAATATCGGAAGCTGCATCATTTCTTTTTAGACACCTGAAAGAAGTTTTTATATTGCAAATATCCTAGTTATTTCTTATAGCTTATTATTGGAAATGGATATCTAGGTACCGCACTCAGCCTTCTCGGCTACTTCGCTCTCAGTTTTACCTACATAGCAATTATTTACTTATGGAAATTGTCATGATGAATCTCACTAGAAAACCCCAAAATTCTACCTTGAGAATGTGGATAAAATAAATTATTATATGTCGTGCGTAAAAGAAATTGTTATTCACAGAAGTTAACGCTTAACTCAAACTAACATCAACATATTGTCGCGGTCATTAAAATGTTTAATAAAATATTTCATCATTATTTAGGTAGATACTGCCCCAATATCGTGCAGACGTAGTATAAGACATAACACGTGGCGTTTTAGGGCCATTTAGGAAGAAATAAATAACATAATTTTGAATAATTACGAAAAAGTGTATAGAATCCATGAAGTCCGGCCCCAAACATGAGAGACGCAGATGTCACCAAGATTAAACTCACTCTAGCTGCTTATCTTTTAGACTCTATTCACGTCAACGCGCAAAAAGCTACTACTCTGACAAACTAAAAAGAGACCGGTCGAAATTACGACAACACTATTCATAGTAAGAGCTAAATTTTTACTATCTCATGTATACCCCGTTACAGCTAAGCACGCACAAACGTACTGACGCCTCCGCCCAAACACACATATAACAACCTTTCACTGTTTCTCACATAGGTACACAAATGCAATTTATAGTCTATTCCAGAAATTTATTGACTAAAACAAAAAGACATTTTTTTAAAATCAATAAGCAACTTCTTGCATTCTTGTCGTCATATTAAATTAATGTTTATTTGTTGATACTACGTTGTCTTTTCTCTACTGGATTTTATTCTTTTCATGAAAATCGTTGGATTATTGTAAACGGCCAAATTACGAGCAACCCCAATACTTTGTTATTGTATCGAATCCCGACACTCCGAATTTTGACTTTTAACAAAATCCTGAGTAAAACGATTCATACAACTTCAACACCTGGCTATAGTTAAAGCAATACGTGACTATTACCAAAATTTTCATAACAGACACACATTTTAATAAAACAATCTTAATGCGAAGTATGTTCTTATATAAGATAAGAAGAGCTGACCCTGTTAAAGATATTTCCATTTCTAAATTATTATTTGCTCGTGAAAATATACATGAATTTTGCATTATATGAAGTGTTTTTATAATTAACTTATACGGCTTCAATTGTAATCAGCTTATATTTACTTAACTGTTCAATTCAAAATGTTGAATGTTTATAATCTTTTAGATTTTAAATGTTATTGGGGTAATTTTCAGAAATATATTTTGTTTTAAAACAATTTAATTTTTTTTCATGGATATTCCCGGGTTAAAGAAGAAGGGAAATTATATGAGATAAACCAAAAAATGAAGCAATATCAAACTTAGACAACAATGGGATGGATATAAACATCAGAATGTGGGGAATTTCAGAAATAAAATGAGAGTTCTACAACATTAGAGAGATTCACAGATTTCTATTAATATATCAAACTTTTTTTTCAATTGTATCCTTTCATATTCATGGAAAACCTTTTTTGCCCTCATTATTAAAGGAAGAGAGAAAATTACCATGTTGATACATATTATTTATTCCGAGTACTTTCGACTTTAGCAGAATATCATCATCAAGATATTGTCGAAAATACTTGGATTAAATAATATATATCAACATGATTGTTCGTGAATATGAAAGGATACAATAGAAAATAAGCAGACAAAACTTTTCTAAATTATTCAATGAAACATGTCACAATGAAAACATGCTGCCAAAATATACGCAATATGCACACACACACACACACACACATATATATATATATATATATATATATATATATATATATATATATATATATAATTTTATTATATATGTATATATATTAAGCTTTGATTTTAGTTGGTTGGTCGGGTTCTTGTTAAGTTTTTAAAACTTTATGTGGTCATGTAGTATGTGGCCAAGTTTTTTGTTGTAATCCAATTTGTTTAGGATGACAAAAATGTTGGTCTTATCAGCTTTTTTTACGATAATGTCAGGGTGGTTTCGCAGTTCTTGTGCGGCAATTTTCAGTTGTTTAGAAAGTATTTTTGAGGAGTTTCTGCTTTTATCATGCCGATCCTTGAATGCCTCGGCCTTAAGTAAGTCTTTAAATTCTGGTGTAGTTTCTATTTGTTGTTTATCCTGGAGTTTAACGATGTTTTGGTATAGGGTCTAAATTTCTGGGTTTTTTTTTCAAAAGTCGATTGTACTTACGGTATATACTTTAAAACTTCCTAAAATTGTTGGTGATTATAGACCTGGCTACATATACGGCACTATAAAAACACATAAGCCTAACTGTCCTCTCCGTCCTATCATATCGCAAATTCCAACTCCTGTATATCAGCTAACAAAATACATTAACCAACTTATTACTCCCTACATTCCTAGTAAATATAGTGTTATATTATTATTTTTATTATCATTTAAATATATATATATATTATATTTTTATTATTATTTATTTTTTAATTTTTTATTTTTTTAATTGATTTTGAAGGCTTTTTGTTTTTTCCTGCAATTTCTTTAAAATTGTATATGTTAAAAATCTTTCCCTATTTTTTCCTGATTATGATTTTTATCATTATTTTTACCATCGTTATTTTTCATCATTAAATTTTTCTTCAATTCGTTTATCATCCTTTTACTTATGTATTATTATTTTAGTAATTTTTACTTTTTAATTTTTTAATTATTATTATTATTATTATTATTATTATTATTATATTTACTGTTTTACACACATATATTTTTAAAATAATTTCATAAATTTTAATAATTTTATTTTATTATTTTTTCTTTATGTAAACTATCTAATTAAGATTTATTCATCTTTTTTATTTACTAGGATATTTTTGGTATTTTTTTATAAAGGAGAAAATATATATAATTTTTTGTTTTATAACTAATAATTTATTTTCATTTTTTTAAATTTTTTCATCTCGGTGTCTTTTACTTTGCGATTCAGTTTCACCCTGATTTGGGGGTGTTCAAATTTCAAATCAAGGTCAACGTTGTATTAACCGTTTTCATTTAAGCCAGGCAATATCCGCCTCTCCCTTCGAACATACTAGCGACTGGGGCTTGGGTTAACTTAATATCTGTGTTTTCAAAAGTTGCCTCCTCCTTTCTTTTCTTTTCTTTTTTTTATTTCTTTTTCTTGTCTACTTTTTTAAATGTTTAATTCTTAAATTTCTGACTTCATGTCTACACACTGTGTCGAAAACGGAAAAGTAGTAACGTTTGGTTGAAATAGCTATTCTTATGAAATCTTTGATTTCTCTAGTATGCAACCTACATACACACACACATATATATATATGTATATATATTCTGTGTGTATTTAGGCAGAATGCTTGTTTCATTAAATAATGTAGAAAAGTTTTGTCTGTTTATTTTAAGTAAACTCATTTCATGTCGTCTGATAATCTTAATAACATTATCATTGAAAGACGAAAGAAAATCACCATATCGATACATGTTTTTTAATCCTATCCAAGCCATTATCAAAGATGACAATTAAATTTCAATATATTAAGTAATACACCGACAAAACAATAATGATAGTCTGTTTTTTTGCATGAAAGATTTCCAAACAACGACAAACTCGTGTATTCGAGATGCGTAAGCGAAAATTGCACCGCAACTCGTACGTCACACATGACCACGCATGAGTAAAACGTGAAGTATTAAGCATGAGAAGCTGTTGGTATAAACCAAGGTTTTTTTTTTAAAGTATTTGAAAATATTCGTGTACAAATGACTGTTAGTAACTTTTCAAATTTTGATTCGGAAATTTACATTTAACTTAATGATATCAACAAATTGAATTCTTGAAAGGAATGAAGAATTTTAAACGATTTTCGAACTATTATATTATTATAAGTAAAATTTTAAAAAATGAAAATTTTCCTGTAAATATTCATTATTAATCGATTTTTTTTTCTTCTGACTATACTGTCCTTAATATCACTTATTTACAAAAGCAATGAAAAGCTTTTTCTAATTAAATAATTCCATAGTTTTATTGATTTTTTATTTTACAATTCCGAGCAGATTTTCAATGAAACAGGTAACTGTTTTACAAAAAAAATTGATGATTTATTTACTTTCTGGAATGAGTCCTGTTTTAACTAAGACCCCCCCCCTTTAAAATTTAATTTCTCGAAATTCTATGAAATTATGTAAGTGGGTGGTAACATATATAAAAAGGTTTTCTGAAAAAATTTCAAAAATAATTTAATTCGTTTCTGAATATGTGCTGAAAGTTTTTTTCAAAATCTGAAAATTATTTGAATTTTGTAAGAATTTCTAAATCAGTGTGTATTCTGCGGAAAAACCGCAAAATAAAACTATTTTTTTTTTCTCTACTTCGATTTTGTCGTTAAAAAACACAATTTTTTTAATCAACATTTCGAACGTGCTCGAAAGGAGTAAAATATTTTAAAAAATGATAAAAACATATTTGATCTTTTCTCTTAATAATAACGTTAACATTTTGATCACAAAACTTTGTTTTTATTGAGTTTGGAGACTTTTTTCATCATGCTTTGCTGATTTACGCGACCAAGTGGAGGTGCCTATATATATATATATATATATATATATATATATATATATATATATATATGAAGAACTATAGTTTTAAGGCGTGTTATATTAATGGGATAAAGTACTCAATGTCAGGGATAGATCGTATGCAAATATAAATATAAAAGTGAACATTGAAGCGACAGGGTGTTTCATGCTTTACGCAATCTTCAGTCGACCTGACGATTGCGCCCGGATTGAAACATCAATGTTTCATATATATATATATATATATATATATATATATATATATATATATATATATATATATATATATATATATGGGTGAGAGCAGGAGAAAGAGAGAGATGATTCTGATAAAGGAAGATAGATCGAAAGCTTCTACATAATTTTCTACATTTTATTTTATTTATGGAAATTAATATATTTTCGTTGTATCGATTAGTTTTCTTATATTTTCATATTTTCATGGTGTCGATTAGTTTTCTTTAACGAATGTGTCTGTTCCATTTATTTCAAACCCATACAATATCTTTGAAGGGAAGTGCGATATTTGAGAGGAAAACCATCAACATTATTTTGTAACGAATACTAAGGAAGAAAGACAAGTTTTTGTTTTTTTTTAACAAAAAACAACGAACAGCTTTTGACAATTATGAAATTTTTTTGTTTTTATTTTAGTTTGAAAAGCACATAGCGAAATCCTAATTTGGAGATGGGTTCAATCAAGAGAATCGGTGATAAGTTCACCTGATGAACTTCGCAGCTTGTTCAATTTGGAAATATCACGAAATCTGACCTCAGACCCGCGACAGACGGAAAAACGTTGATGAGCGTCGCATCTGCTTCAGACTGTGGCCAATTTACGGCTTATCTCTTTCAGGTTGGCCAGGACTCAGCCGGATGGAGAGAAGCGGTAAAGAGAAGAGAAAACAAATGGCACTTTCACTCGAGTAGCAAGCTGTTGCCGCGCAGTCTACAATACGTTGGAAACTTTCCTTTCTGCTTCAGCAGGATAAGATACTGATGGGTATAATAGATAAAAAAAAACAGAAAAAAGCCCTAAAAGAATGAAAAATAAAAGGAGAATAGCATATGGCAAAAAGATTAGGAGTAAAAGGGAAAATAAACAGAGGGAGTGCCATAGTATGTTAATTCTACTAGTTACATAGCTGGATATGACTAAACCAAAGAAAAGGATTATCCGAGATATGAAAGGTTGGGAGATAAACAGGCGATTAAAAAGGCTGCAACAACCAAGTGTAGTTTTTTAAGGTATTTAGAAATATCATTAAAACTAATTAAAATTAATTATCATATTAAATTTTAAACTTGGCAAAACGATGTGTTTATTTTTTTTATACTTTTACTCCATTGAGGTTATTGAGTGTTAGAGGGTATGAGGGGAAAACAACATTAAGGAGAGAGAACAATAAAAGAACAAGAATTAAGAAGACAGAATATAACGATTGAAATTGCATTTAAATTTTTTGAAGATCAAAGTCGACTGGAGAGTAAGAGACCGGAAGAGAGTTGAAAAGTCCGAGAGAAGAAAATATTAGCAAAGAACTTACGGTTAAATGCAGTAATTTCAACCGTAAAATGATGCCACCTAACTGAGAATCTGTTACTGCACATAAATTCGTAAAGTCGATGTAGCCATCACGTCATTTACCAGGAAAATATCTCTAGAATGCGCACAGGGAAGCTACGTCAGGACGATGAAAAAGGGACTGCGGACGAGATGCCAGATTACTACCCATAACATTGCAGATTCTCATTTGTATTTTATCAAGTACTAGCAGTATAACCCGTCTTCGACCGGGTCATCCATTACTGGGCATTTTTGCCGTTCAATTGGATCAGTTCAAGTTTCAAGTCAGCCCACCTGAAAATCTGTATGAATAACAACAATTGGGTATAACTGAGGCACATCCCCAAATGCGGGGTTAATAATTCAAATGGGGGGGGACCTGAATAGGAACGTTTTTTGCGTTCTCAGTCTTGCAAGAAATGGACCTCTTTCCTGGACCGTCATAATAATAATATACGATAATTGTTATTTATAATATAATTTTTTTTTATAATTCTAATAATCTTTTGCGTTAGATTTCAACGCTCTAAATTCATTGTACACTTTTTTCTTACAGACATTAAATTTTGACTTTGATTTTTGCGCAAATTTAAAAAAATCATTTTTTTTCGATTTTTCACCTTCAAGTTTGCAATTTTTCCAGCCAATTTGGACTCAAATCTGGCACTGAAGAATTATCTATCAAACAAAATAAGTTTATATATTTTGGCAAGTTATAATTGAAAGAATATCAGTATACCTGTGTTGAAAGCATTTTAGCTAGCTAATCTTACAAATCTTTATCTACAATTACCCTTTTAGTCTCTAGATTTTAGTCTGTTTTCTCCTCCTCTATAAAATTTTAAAATTATACGATATCTAAGTAAATAGTAAACACCTATCAGAATGATAATAGAAGGCGTCAGTGAGAATATTTAGTGCGTATGTTAAATCAATAGAAAAAATTTTTGTACAGAAATTCAGAGAGAATTTCGCTTTTAAAATCGAGTTCATTATTTCAAAATATTATCATAATCGTTGTTTTCTTTCCAATAAAACCCATAACTCGAGACTTAAGTGAAGTGAACGTACCATAAATATACATTCTGTTTGTAGAGAGGGACGATAATTGATTTTAAGGGACATGAAATTTAAACGTGAAATAATAATAATTATTGTTTGTTTCGTTGTTGATGTTGTTGTTGTTTTTATTATTATTATTTTTATTTTCTTTGATTTCTGGCGTTTACACATTTCTTTCCGGGTCCCGCCCAGGGACCTGAGGTTAGAAATGGCGTCATGACACTTTCCACTGACAAAAAAAAAAATTAAATTACATAGATAAAGCCCTTCGTAAGGTGTGGGCTGTACTTGTCAGAACAATTTTTTGTATCTCCTTGAGGCATGGACTTCCAGGAATCCCTTCAATTAGTCTACTGCAATCTTTTCCAACCAGTCCTAGGGCTCCAACTACAACGGCGATTGTTGGTGTTTCCATATGCCACATTTTTGAGATTTCTGTTCCAAAGTCCTTGTACTTTGACAACTTTTTGAATATCTTCAAAGATACATTGCAGTCAGCAGGGACTGCCATATCAATAAGGAGGCACCGTTTTTGTTTGTGGTCTTTAATAACAATATCTGGGCGGTTGGCTTTGATTGTTCTGTCAGTGTGTATTGTGTAATCCTATAGAATTGTAACAGGTCCTATCTCCGTAACCGAGTCTGGTTGGTGTTCATACCAGTTTCTTTCAGTTTCCTTCCCGTAGAAGTTGCAGATTATTATTATTATTATTATTATTATTATTTCTTTAGCAATGTTTTTCATACTCAATCGGTGATCATGCATCAAAATGTCGAACATTAAGTCATACGACCTCAAACAGCATTTTTTGCAGAATATTTACAGTACCTTCTGAAGGGATGGGATATTACGATTTAATTTGATTTTTTCAATGTATGAATTTAATATCGACGATTTAGGCCTGAAGGCCCTGATTTTAACTGTGACAATAAATGAATGCTCCATATTCTAACAACTCCAAATTTAATGTTCCCAAATTATTATTATTATTATTATTATTATTATTATTATTATTATTATTATTATTATTATTACTATTATATTATTATTATTGTCGTTGTTATATTTCCTTTGATTTCTGATATGTACTCATTTCTGTCTGTGTCCCGCACAGAGATCTAAGATCAGAAATGGCATCATTACATTTTCCACTGATCAGTTAAAAAAAATAACATTCTTTACATAGATTAATCCCTTCGTAAGATGTGGGCTGTACTTGGGAAAAAAAATGTTCGTATTTCTTTAAGGCATGGGGTACTAGAAATCTCTTCAATGTGTCTATTGGAATCATTTCCTATCTTCCGAGGGCTCCGTTATAATTGAATGGTTGATGTTCTCATGTGACACATTTTTGAGGTTAGGATTTCAAGATTCTTGTAATATGATAGCTTTTTTAAGATCTTCAAAGATATATTGCAGTCTGCAGGGATTGGCATATCAATAAGAAGGCAATTTTTTGCGGTCTCTAATAACAGTGTCAGGGCTAATAGATTTTATTGTTCTGTCTGTGTGTATTGTGTAGTCCCTTAAAATTGTTGCAGGTCCTATCTCCGTAACCCGGTGTGGGTGGTTTTCATGCCAATTTTTTTTTCCGTTTCCTTTCTGTAAAAGTTGCAGATTTTCTAGTGCAGATATTGACCTACTCTGTCATGCCGGATTTTATATTCAGTGGGTGCCAATATCGTACAACCTGATACAAGATAATAATTTCTTTCTGGATATTTATCACAAAATCTACATTTTTCTTTAACACAGTTTATTACACTATTTACATTATTTGGATTATTGTCTTCATTTTTGTCGCCATATTTATTACAACTGGGGTAGGTGGGTACAAGAGGAGGAGTACAGCAACACTCAGAAACAGTCTGCCTGCTTTATATGAAGGGGTTATCAGAGAAAATACAAACGATTTGCGCTCCATATAATATCAGGACAACATTCGAAAGTTGGACGACACTTCGCAGATATCTATCCCGAATAAGACCCCTCACAGAAGAGAACATGACTAAAGACTGTGTGTACGCTATCCTGTGCAGCTGTGGGGATGTGCCTCTGTGGGATCAGGTTGAGATCATAGACAAAGAACATCATTGAAAAGTTCGTAAACTGAAGAAATCAGCACATATGCTAGGCCACAAAAAATCTCCTGAGTCGACCAAGCATAGAAATGAATTCAATATAAGAACCAGTAATAACGATTGCCAGAAGTAATAATAACAACAAAAATTGCAATATGAGCTCTGGTAAAAAACATGCAATGATAACAGCACAAATTGCGATGTTTGCTGAAGAAATTAGGTTTATAATACCCAGAAATTAATACACATTAATACAAGGATACATGGCATAGTAGATAAACGCATTAGCTAGATCCAGTGACAGGACCCAAAGAGTATGAGTTCAATACCTGGTTAAGGCAGTGGAGAGCTTGGAGAGGGGAATTAACACGAGATAACTGATAACTGACATCCATTAATCATGGCACGTGGAACTAGAACAGTTTACCCCAGTGAGCGAAATAAAAGGTTCAGTTTGACATTCCAACCACCTGAAGAAGACCGGTGCGTACAAAGATGAGGACAATAGTCCAAATAATGAAAATAGTGTACATAATACTTCATCTCAGAAATAAAGACAAACACGGAAACTCTCTCTCTCTCTCACTCACTCCTACTCTCTTACTCTTTCTATTTGTCTCTCACTTTCTCTCAATATATAAATTTGATTGACAGAACTTCATATTATTTAATCAAACATGTATATAGTGTACATAATATCTCATCTCAGAAATATAGACAGATACACAATTTATTGTTATTATTATTATTATTATTGGTATATTTAAAAACCGATTATTTTCTAGAACTGTTGCTCTTCACTGTGACATTAATTAAGAATGAAGCTCAATTAATAACAGCTCGTGAGATCAGCTTCCTAATTTGGAATCTTCTTCTTTCGTCTGGTACCGACCATAATTTCCAATACAAACAATTGTGATACTGTATTTATTCTTTAGAGTAAATATTACAGATAATATTGTAAGGATGGCCGTAAGTTAACATAGCCGTTTGTTAATAGCTACAAATTTACCCATTGACAGTTGTCTGGGTAGTCCACAAGTGGTAGGAACTTTTTTCACCTGTTTCCCGTCGTGAGTTTTAAAGACATGTAAACAGTCAAGGATCAAACTCAGAGCTGCTAGATTTCCAAACATCATGCAACAGTTACACATCAGTCTATCAACAGTACAATAAAC